TAAATTACCTTGGTACCCAGGTAAAGATACAACTAAGACACCAAACGACAGATCAATCTCCCTCATGAACATTGATGCAAAAATATTCAAAAAATACTGGGAAATCTAATCCAAGAAGAAATCAGAAAAATCACACACCACGATTAAGTAGGCTTCACCCCAGGGATGCAGTGATGGTTCAACATTAAAAAATCCATCAGTGTAATCCACCATATAAACAATCTGAAAAAGAAAAACCACATGATCATCTCACTAGATGCCTTTCACAAAATTCAACATCCCTTCATGATAAAGGTCTGAGAGAGATCATGGATAACAGGAACATTCCTAAAGATAATAAAAACAATATACAGCAAACCAACAGCCAACATCAGTCTAAGTGGAGAGAAATTCAACATGATTCCCCTAAAATAAGGAACAAGACAAGGCTGTCCACTCTCTCCATACCTCTTCGATACTGTAGTTTAAGTTCTTTCTAGAGCAATAAAACAACAAATGGAGATCAAATGGATACAAATTGGATCAGAAGAAGTCACATCTTCACTATTTGCAGATAATGTGAGAGTCTACATAAGTGACCTGAAGAATTCTACCAAGGGGCCCCTACAGCTGATAAACACCTTCAGAAAAGTGGCAGGGTACAAGATAACTCAAAAAAATCAGTAGCCCTACTATATATAGACAATAAATATTCTGAGAAAGGAATAAGAAACATCACTCTTTACAATATCCAAAACAACATAAGATATCTTGGGATAAATCGAACAAAACAGGTGAAAGACCTGTATGACAGGAACTTTGAGTAATTAAAACAACAAATTAAAGAAGATACCATTGAATCTTTTTTTTAGTCCTTTATTAATGAGACCAAGAACCTCAAGATGTACTGATTATTTTTCTGGTATCCATCTGTCTTTATGATTAGTGTTGTTGTTTTTCTTTTCTTTTATGAGACAGGGTGTCTCTGCAAAATAGCCTTGGCTGTCCTCAAAATCATTTTGTATACCAGGATGGCCTTGAACTCACAGAGGTCACCCACCTCTACCTCCCGAGTGCTGGGATTATAGGCAGGCACCACAATGCTAGACTTCCAAATGTCTTAAAATGTATATTAACTATTTGTTTGTTTCAGGTTTTTCTTGTCATAATATAACAATATTTGGCCATTAAAAAAAACCATAATGTCTGACATGGAAAAGTTTGGGAAGTCTGGCCATTTAGTGTGGGCAAATTAAAGAAGATACCATTGAATCTTTTTTTTAAGTCCTTTATTAATGAGACCAAGAACCTCAAGATGTACTGATGATTTTTCTGGTATCAATCTGTCTTTATGATTAGTGTTGTTTTTCTTTTCTTTTTTGAGACAGGGTTTCTCTGCAAAATAGCCTTGGCGTCTTCAAAATCATTTTGTATACCAGGATGGCCTTGAACTCACAGAGGTCACCCACCTCTACCTCCCGAGTGCTGGGATTATAGGCAGGCACCACAATGCTAAGCTTCCCGATGTCCTAAAATGTATATTAACTATTTGTTTGTTTCAGGTTTTTCTTGTCATAATATAACAATATTTGGCCATTAAAAAAAACCATAATGTCTGACATGGAAAAGTTTGGGAAGTCTGGCCATTTAGTGTGACATCAGTAAGGAGTCCATTATCTCTTCTTAGTTCTTAAGTCTTTTATGGACATAGGTATGCTTATATACTCTAGTTTATAAAATATAAAAGGATTACACTTTATCACTCTTTTCTGTTGCATAATCATACACTGTAAAGAAGACCGCTGTAAGCTTTTTAATACTCAAGGATTTTTTAACATGTATTTGTTCAGAATTTGCACACCGACTTTGTTGTGGTTCATTTTCTGTTCTGTGGAGGTATGTTTCAAACAGTGTCACTGCTACCAATTGGCTGGCCAGAGTTACATACAATAGCACATTTATCAGAATAACACCAAAATTTTCAATGGAGAATTTCAAATCCACAAAGCCTCATTAGTGGGACCTAATTCTTATTTTATGGATGATGGAAATAGGGATCATAATGCCTAGCAATGTGGCCTAAACTCTGTAGTAAAAGAATTATTCTAAAAGTAAGAAAGAGAGTGTAACAATAAGTCTTTACTCCATCTGTGTGAGCTATCACGGCCCTGCCCTGCCACAAGGGCGCTTTTTGCCAGGCTGCCTGAGTTCTGTCCTGCACCCCGTTATGTTCCCAAGTAACAAACAGAGACTTATATTAGGAACAAATGCTGTTTGGCCAATGATTAGGATTTCTCATCTGCTAGTTTGGTCTTAATTATCAACCATAATCATAAGACTTATCTTATGAAGACGTCTTCTGCTGGCACCCTGTGTTTCTGGCAGATCACATGGCGGCTCCAGAACAGAGACTAGGAGGAAGAGAGAAGGGCCCACTTCCTTCTTGCCCTTGCTTATATATGAGTCTCCATGCTATATCACTTCCTGCCTGGATCACCACTTCTTTACTCCATTTCCCAGAATCCTCCTTGACTCCTAGTACTGCCTAAGTTGCTGCCTCATATGCCAAACAGTAATTTCTCATCCAATAAGACAAGTCATACACAGAAGCACTTCCCCCCTCATCTCTCTTTTGTGTCTAAATAAAAATTAGGGTAACTTATTTTTCATAAAAGCAAAAGAAAACTGCAACAATAACTATCTGTCTTCAACTCCATCAAAGACCACAAAAGGATAATATATAAACTCTAGTATTGACAGAGACATCTCACTACATGGACATTCATCCAAACTTCCTATGTAACGTTGGTGCATCATTCTTCAGCCCATAGGACACAGTGTGTCTGGCACTCTTCTCCATTTCAGCAGGAATCCTTTAGTACTGTCTTGTTTAGTAAGTTTAGCACTCACTTTCTTGTGGGTCCTGCATGTCCAGTTTATGTAGCAACAAACAGTCCAGGCAAGAGCAGTTTCTTGCCAAATGGCTAACCTTGCCATGTTGAAGGCAAACTCCATAACGAGTTTCTTGGATGCCCATCCTCCTTTCTGACATAATTGGTGTACCAGGAACAGTTGTGTCTCACTGTCAAGAAAACCCTAAACCATTTAAATGCCATGTACTCTGAGGTCTTTAAAGGATTTGAAGAATACCTGTCCATCTCAAATACACTGTTTATCTAGAAAACCTAACTAACCTAATTATAAATTCTGACTATTACAGGTGATTATATAATCTGTATTTCATTATGTATTACATTGTAAAAGATCTGTATAACACAATACCTAACGAGAGGAGAGATATAAATGTCACAAAATTGACCTTAAATTTGTATCAATAAATGAAAAGTCACACTAATGCAAAGTATCCATTCCTATATCCTATTACCCCCTTTCCTTTAAAAAGAGATTGACTGTGATCATTCCCATTCATAATCAACTCCATTTAAATGTAATCAAACATTTATGAACAATATTTGGGAGTTTGGGGACCATTCATTCCAAAGTGATTCCTGCTGGTTGGCAGCGATGTCCATATCTTGGGGATCATGATAAAACACAGAAATCAGACCAAGTCCTTTTTTATGTTGTCTGAAGGGCTACATTGCCTCAGCTGTTTTAGATGTAGGATTAGTTGGGCCACTGCTTCAGGGGGTCTCGCTTGACCAAACCATATTAGTCTGGGAGGAATCCATAGTTTTCCATTTTCTGTGGAAACACAAGCAAGAAATCTTTTCCCAAGTAGCCTGTCCTTAGACTTAAATTTTGAAGTCAAAGCATTGTTAAAATGTGTAAGTTGGATTAATTTAGTAGCATTGATAATCAAATGTATTGTAGCAGCTTTTGCTCTTTCCTAGGCAATCAAACAATTTAAAGACAACACTATATCATAGTACGAGACTCTCTGTGTATTTTCCATCTTTATCTGGCTTTTTATGACTCTATTTCTTTTATTTTTTTCCTTTTATGAGACAGGTTTTCTCTGTGTACCTTTGGCTGCCCTTGAATTCACTCTGTACACTGGGCTGGCCTTGGAATCCCAGGGATCTGTTTGCCTCTGCCTCCCGAATGCTGGGATTAAAGGCATGTGCCACATTTGCCCAGCCACTCAATTTTTTCTTCCTCTTTTTCTCTCACAAGCCTACATATATTTTT